GACTTGTGTTGTTGTTTTATTGTTGACATCAAAGGTAAAGAGTATCCTAGCTTGTGACTTGTGTTGTTGTTTTATTGTTGACATCAAAGGTAAAGAGTATCCTAGCTTGTGACTTGTGGTGTTGTTTTATTGTTGACATCAAAGGTAAAGAGTATCCTAGCTTGTGACTTGTGTTGTTGTTTTATTGTTGACATCAAAGGTAAAGAATATCCTAGCTTGTGACTTGTGGTGTTGTTTTATTGTTAACATCAACGGTAAAGAGTATCTTAGCTTGTGACTTGTGGTGTTGTTTTATTGTTAACATCAACGGTAAAGAGTATCCTAGCTTGTGACTTGTGGTGTTGTTTTATTTTATGATCAGATAATTCTCGAGTAATTTGAAGTGAAAACAAAATATTTTCAACTTGTTTGTTTTTCTTAGATTTTGTTTTTAACTCTTTTCTTATACTTGTTTGTTTTTTAACATCTGATTTTAAACTTTTCGGCCAATGGATATTGATATGCGTGCAGTAAGCACAAGACATAACATTCTGCATAACACAAAACATAATACAAGGCATAATAAAAGAAATAACACAAACATAATATAAGACACAACGCAAGACATAACACAAGACATAACCAGGAAAGGAAATGGGTTTTAGGAACTTGGTACACGCTTAGAAGAAGCAGTGGGGCGGTTGGTATAAAAAATATACGAATTTCTTATTTTATACTCTAGCTTGTCAATATCTCTAATTTGAGTTCCTAAATCGTAAGAAACTATAGATTTTGTATTAGGACATCACACACACATCTAGTTTGAACCAATGTTGCATTAAACATACCACGTGACAAACATAAATCGACATTTAGGTGTGTTCTTATAATATTTACTTTTAAATTGATAAATTAAGTAATGTATAATACTAAAATTTGAATTATAATCTACAGTTTCATACCAAACTTATTGACTTAAGTTCAAGAAATAGTAGTTCAATAAAATTTTGAATGTAAGTCTACAAACATGATGACATGGCCTTTGACTCATTGACGATAGGGTTAATAAACTTCAGTCATACTAAACTTGACCAATGGGGAAAAATGCAAACTGAGAACACAAGCATAACATAAGACAAGACACAACACAAGCATAACATAAGACATAAGACGATACACAACACATGACATAACATAAGACAAAAGACAAGATACAACACAAGCATAACACAAGACACAAGACAAGCATAACATAAGACATAACACAATACACAACACATGGCATAACATAAGACATAAGACAAGACACAACACAAGACATAACACAAGGCCTAAAACAGGACGTAACATAAGACATAACACCAGACGTAATACAAGGTATAACATTAGATCTCAAATTGTTATTGTGTAAGTAAATATAAAACAAAAAATCATTTGTACACTTTGTTGATGAAAATATCAAAGGTGACAACCACCATGTCTCTGCCGTAAATACATACAGAAAGAGATGTATGACGACAACGACAACCACCATGTCCCTGCCGTCAATACTTACAGAAAGAGATGTATGGCGATAATGACAACCACCATGTCCCTGCCGTAAATACTTACAGAAAGAGATGTATGACGACAACGACAACCACCATGTCCCTGCCATAAATACTTACAGAAAGAGATGTATGACGACAACGACAACCACCATGTCCCTGCCGTAAATACTTACAGAAAGAGACGTATGACGACGACGACAACCACTATGTCCCTGACGTGAATACTTAAAGAAAGAGATGTATGACGACAACCACCATGTCCCTGCCGTAAATACTTACTGAAAGAGATGTATGACGACAACCACCATGTCTCTGCCGTAAATACTTACAGAAAGAGATGTATGACGACAACGACAACCACCATGTCACTGTCGTAAATACTTACATAAAGACATGTATGACGACAACGACAACCACCATGTCCCTGGCGTAAATACTTACAG